ACAGGGAGGGGTGTTTGTGTTAGTGTGTTTGTGTGCGGGAGGGGTGTTTGTTTGTTTGTTTGTTTGTTTGTTTGTGTGTGTGTGTGTGTCTATGATCGATGATACATACACACACACATATATATATATATATATATGTATATCGGAGGTGAGGGGGTGAGATCGAAGTGGAACGGAGAGCCCCCCTACCGGGAAATCGATTTCGGTTTCGTGTTCGTGCGTGCCGTGCGGGCGAGGCGAAGCTGCGTGGGCGGGCGAGAGAAAGTCTCCTGTGGCTGAGGCGCGGCCGGACCAAATGTCTCCCTTCCGGGCGGCCGGGGGCCCGCGGTGTCCCGCCGGTGTCCCGCTGGTGTCCCGTGTGGCTGAGGCGCGGCCGGACCAAATGACTCCCTTCCGGGCGGCCGGGGGCCCGCGGTGTCCCGCCGGTGTCCCGCTGGTGTCCCGTGTGGCTGAGGCGCGGCCGGACGAAATGATTCCCTTCCGGGCGGCCGTGGGCCCGCGGTGTCCCGCTGGTGTCCCGTCGGTGTCCCGTCGGTGATGATGATGATGATGATGATGATGATGATGATGATGATGATGATGATGATGATGATGATGATGATGATGATGATGATGATGATGTTGACAACGATGATGATGATGGTGATGATGATGGTGGTGATGATAGTGAGTTCGGTAGTGAGATCGATAGTGAGACCGAATGTGAGATCGATTGTGAGATCGATCGTGATATCGATAGTGAGGTCGATAGTGAGACCCAATGTGAGATCGATAGTGAGATCGATAGTGAGTTCGATAGTGAGATCGATAGTGAGACCGAATGTGAGATCGATTGTGATATTGATTGTGATATCGATAGTGAGATCGATAGTGAGATCGAAAGAGAGGTCGATCATGACTTCGATAGTGAGTTCGATAGTGAGATCGATAGTCAGATCGATTGTGAGATCGATTATGAGATCGATTGTGATATCGATAGTGAGATCGATAGTGAGACCGAATGTGAGATCGATTGTGAGATCGATTGTGAGATCGATCGAATGAGATCGATTGTGATATCTGTAGTGAGATCGATCGTGAGACCGAATGTGAGATCGATCGTGAGATCGAAAGCCAGATCGATTGTGAGATCTATTGTGAGATCGATTGTGATATCGATATTGAGATCGTTAGTGAGATCGAGTGTGAGATCGATTGTGAGATCGATCGAATGAGATCGATGATGAGATCGATAGCGAGATCGATAGTGAGATCGATCGAGTGCGACGGTGGTCCCCCCCTCGCCTTCTTACCACCCGAAGGGTGGTCTATGCGGTATGTATATATATATATATATATATATATATGTGTGGTGCGTAGGGGAGGTCCTGACAGACTTCCCCGCCCTTTTCGAGGCGTTGCCGCACCCCCTCCCCTGCCCCTGAGGTTTTTGTTGATTCTAAGGGCTTTCTGGTCGGGGCGACTGAGCCGGAGGGGGCGAGAGAGGGCCAGCACGGCCAGAGTCCTCTTTCGGCCCCCGTTGGCCGAGAAGGCGCGCCACCGGCGGGGGAGCAAAGCGCACTCTCGCCCAGGGCGCCCGACCAGGGGCTCGCGACGGGCGCCGCCGCGGAAGCGGACGCCGCCGCCAAGGTGCCCAGCACCATCCGACACGGCCGACGCTCCACGGCCCGGAAGTGTCCGCAGCCGCCGCTTCGGAGGCGTGCCCAGGGCCCCGAGGAGCAGTGGATGCGGATAGTCGCCCGCCTTCAGGTGCGGGCAAATTCAACACCCATGTCCGCCATTCCCCGAGGTCCACGGCCACGGGCACAACCCCGAAGCGGTGGATGTGGAGATTTCCTGGCGGTGAACGACACGCCCTCGCCCCCACCCAGCTCCACAGGCGCGGCCTGTCAGGGGCGGCACCTGTCGGCACCTCTACGCAGATGCTCGTCGTGGGGACCTTCCTGGGGCCCATCTGATAGATCTGTCCGACTCAGAACGACTCCAGTTCAACTCTGGGCCGACGCAGCTCCGACTCAAATTCGGCTCAAGTTCGACGAGCGTTCGGCAAAGCATCTACGCATGAGTGGAGAGTAGTTCCAGGAACGCCCCCAGAACGAGCATCCAACCGGCTCGCCCTCGCCCTCTCAGGCTCCAGGCCGCCGCGTGCTCGCGCGCATCGAGCCCCACAGGAGGGAAGCACGCCGTTGCTCCAGCGCCTCCAGCCTCTGGCCTCCGGCAGGCCTCAGCCTCGGGATCGCCCGCGGCGCGGCGCCGCGCGGCACGCCGTCGAGCGCCGAGCGCCCCGCCGCGCTCCTCTGGAGGCGGGCGGTCGGCTCCCTCCCATGGGGGCTGCCCACGACGTAGGAACACGCTCGCGGCGGCCCCCGGGGGCTTCTGGAAAATGACCTCGCACGTGGAGGCGCGCTTGCGGCGGCCGCTGGGGCCTCCCAGCGCTCGGCGGGGGCTCTGGAGCGGTCCCGCGGCGCTCCCGGCTCCCTCTGCTGGAGTGCGCCTCCGCCTCGCCAAGGTCGGCAATCGACCATTGGAGAGTGAACCTTCGCAGGGGTGACCACCTGGTGGTGTGGGCCAACCAGGGTCCCCCGATCGCTGGGTGAGGTGCAGCAGCAGCGACCTGCGTGCCTGGGCTCGGCCCCCGCCCTTTCCCCACCTGCGGCCCCTTCCCCACCCTTCCTCCCTTCCTCTCCTCCTCCTCCTCCTCCTCCTCCTCCTCCTCCTCCTCCTCCTCCTCCTCCTCCTCTCCTCCTCCCACCCGCGGGTCCGCGGGTCACTCTTGCCCAAGGTCACACTTGCGTGCAACCGAGCCAGCAGCTCCTCGCAGGCTTGCCTTGGCCTCTGCCACCCCGCTGCGCTCCCGCGCGCACAAGGGGTGCCGCAGCTCCCGCGCTCGGAGTGCTGTCGCCTCTTCCTCGAGTCCCAGGAGACTCGGGGTGGCCACCCTCGCGCAAGACGGCCGCCCAGGCTGGCCGCCGCCCGCCGCTGCCGCGCGCGTCTTGTGGCTCCGCACGTTGGCCCGCGCCCTGGGGCCCCACGGTGGGAGCCTAAGGCGCCCAAGGCGCCCAGCGCCATGAGCCCTGCCTGCAGCCCGGCCAGGCCCCTTTGACGGTCGCCATCCTCACAGAGATGCCGGGTCATCTCGACGGCCTGGGCATCTACATCAACTTGATCACGGCACGCTCCCGCGACCCCTCCGCTGTGCCACCAGACGCCCTGCGCCTCGCGCCGACTAAAAGGACGACCCAGGGCGAGCCGCCCGCCGTCGACCTCGCCGCCCCCCGCCGCCGAGGGCCCGCCGCGGCCCGTGCCATGGGGGCGGCCTCGCCGCGCTGCCGAGGTCGAGCGCTCGGCGCCGTGGCCCGCCACGCACGGCGCAGCGCCGCTGCCCTCGCCGCAGCGGGCGGCCGCGGCGAGCTGTCGGCGGCCGCCGCCGCGAGGCGGTCCGCCGCCGGGCCTCCGCCGCCGCTGCCGCCCGCGCCTCGCGCCTCGCCTGCTGGGCCGTCTGCCGCCTGCCGCCTGCCGCCCGCGGCGGGAGAACGGGCCGCTACGGGCGGGGCGGCGCTGCCGCTGCACCGGCTGCGCTGTTTGTTCTTCTCGTGGCGCCACCGTGCTGAGTTCGGTTCCCCGAGTCGCCACCCGCCAACACATCCCAACCCAACCCGACGGCCCCAATTTGCCATCGTGTCGGGAACATTGAAAAAAAACCACATGGAACCGGTACCCCCCCCTACCCGAATTGTGGTTCTGCGGGTGGAGTTGGGGTGATGTGGTAGGTAGTCGTTGTGCCCCTGGAGTCCGTTCATTTTTCCCGAGCGATAGCGGGCGTGACCAGGGGGGAGGGGGGGGGCGTTCACGTCGCGATTCGCGCCGTCGCCGAGGGAATACCTAAGCACGGCTATTTCCCAGACGACGCCATTGCGAATGGTGACGTGACCAGGGGAAATGGGGGGAGGGGCCAGTCACGGGCCTTATCGCATCGCGAATCATGCAAAATGGGCTCCTGGCCCCTGGGGGGAAGCAGCGGCATAAACACATAATTAGACTTCGTGAGGCCCGCGCGGATTGCTTGCATCGGCGCTGGGCCTTCATGGCGGCGCCTTCGGCGCCGCCCCTGGCGCGCTCCGCGCGCCAGGGAAGGGAGGCCAGCGCAGATCCAAGAAGTCCGCGCAGACCTCTCAGAGGCGACGACAGGGGCGAATAGCTCAGGGGAGAGCAATACATGTATTCAGGTGCGCCGATGATCTATGTCTTCAAAATGGTTCCCGGGCGAATGCGTGTAATGTCCGCCCCTGGGCTATCCGCCCCTACGGTCGCCGCCGAACCTCGGAGCGCGTGACCCACCCCTATAGCAGACGGGCCTCTTCCGTGCTGGCCCCCCGCCGTCGCCCCGCCCCACGGCCGTGGGCAGGCGGCGAGAGGCCTCCGCCTTGAGTAAGTTGAGGAGCAACGCCCATCTTTTCTCCAGTCGGGGCCGATCTCTCCTCTCCTGCTGGCGCCACACGGGGGAAGATACCCAGGAGCAGCGGGCTTCTGCCTAATTATCCCAGCATGCATGCTTCTTGTTGCTCCGTGTGGACTGTGAGATTGCCCGAAAGGTTCTTGTTCTGAGCTTTCGCGAGCCTTGAGCGCTTCTGGGGGAGTGTGACGGATTCTAAGGACCTCTTTTATCTCTTCTCTTCCTCGTCGTCGTCGTCGTCCTCGTCGTCCTCCTCGTCGTCCTCGTCTTCGTCCTCGTCCTCGTCGTCGTCCTCCTCTTCCTCCTCCTCCTCCTCCTCCTCCTCCTGCTCCTCCTCCTCCTCCCCTTCGTCGTCGTCGTCGTCGTCGTCGTCGTCGTCGTCATTGTTCGTCGTCGTCGACGTCGGCGTTGGCGTCAGTGTCGGCGTCTGTGGCGTCGCCTTTGCGATGTCGTCGCCGACGTTGTCATCAATGTTCGCCTCGTCGTTGCCGTCGCCGTCGCCTGGGTCGTCATCGTCGTTGCAGGGATGCGGGCCTCGGCGCACGAGGCAGACGCGCGGCTGCTGTTCAGGGCGGTTGTGGTGAAGTTAGAGGCGCCCCCCGATGTATGGTTTGCAGGGGGTGCAGCGCTGGGAGCATGTTTTTTTTGTTGAGGGCAAAGGCCACCTGCTTCTAGAAGACCAACATCTTGGGCCTATGCCGAATACCATTTTCACCTTCTAGCCACAGGCATGTATAGACATGTTGGATGTAGTTCCATCTGTAGACACATTCGAGGAAGTGAATACGTGTATAGACAAATCGATTGCGTTCGGCGCAGGACGAGGTCGGAGAAAGGGCCGGCGGATCCGTCTACGATATGATCCTGTTCTAGAGCAAGGGCGGGTGCAAGCTCCACTGTCTTCCTGAGCACGTGGTAGTGGTCAGATTCCTGGAGTGGGAGCGCGCCGTAATTATGCGCTGGGCGAGTGCCATGGAGTGGTGAACGACACTACCCGCGTCGCCCTGGCTTACTGTGCACGCTCCCCTCAAGAGGTGGGGGGAGGGTCAGCAGGGGAAAAACATACACACAGACGCAAATCAACGTCGGTCCCATGAACATGTGGGAATGTATGGGAGGTGGAGGGGAAGACGAGCCTCCAGAACATGTGGGAACACACATGGGGAATCCTGTGAGTGGTGTCTACCTTTTTGCGTGCCCCTGGGCCCCATCGTGCGGTGAGAGGGGGGCGCGAGGGGTGCCGGGCGAGGGGAGGCTGGGCAGGGGGGGACCTCCTGCTCATTCCCCCTCCTCCTCCATACTCCTCCTCCTCCTCCTCCTCCTCCTCCTCCTCCTCCTCCTCCCTTCTCCTCCTCCTCCTCTTCCTCCTCCTCCTCCTCCTCATCCCTCCTCCTCGTCCCTTCTCCTCCTCATCCCTTCTCCTCCTCCTCCTCCTCCTCCTCCTCTTCCTCCTCCTCCTCGGGGCTCAGCGCCAAGGGAGGCCACTCGGCGGCGAGCTCGCCAGAGTGACCTTTGGTACGGGCCCACTTCATTCAGGCGATCGCAAACATGAAAGGTTGACCCCCGTCGGAGGGGTACCCCCCCCCCACGCTTGTCAAGAAGCCCAGAGTATTCCTTCTCGCTCCTCCCCCTCGCTCGACCCCGACCTCAGCTGGCCTGCGTGTGGGAGCCACCCTGCGGCCCACCGGGGTTCACGACGTGGCTCTGGCTGGCCCGAGTCAGCGCCGACCGTCCCCGGGAGGGGCGGGGGACGATGGGGGAGTCGGGGGCGGCAAAGAGGGGGGTGATGACCAGGGGGGGTGGATATCATGGCGTGGGCCATGATATTTCCGCAGATTTCATGGCGTCTCTTCTTGTTTCACTGCGTCCCTGGGACCCCCCCTTGGGCCGCATGCCGCCGGCCGTGATTTGCGCCCCCTCCTCTCTTGGACGCCCCTCTCTTGGCCGCCCCCGAGGGAGGGGGGTGGGGCAAGCACCCCGCTACGACATCATTTGCGCACAGTTGCTCCCGCCCAGTCCATCAAGGATTGATCAGGCTTTAGACTGGTGGGTGGAGGCGCGGAAGGGAGGCGCTCGCCGACGAGTTCACGAGCCCTTCAAAGAGACCCCCTCATTGGGCCTTGCTTGTGCCCGGCTTGTGGCAATCCTATTTGTGGCAGCCGCGTCGTATGACTGCCCAATGTATGATTACATACCACTTCACGACGTCCCATCCCTATGGAATCAATGCGTTGGCCCTTCAATGCTGCTCCTACCCAGTCTACCCAGAGCGAATGGGGTGTTCGCAGAGTCTATGCCATGCGCAGAGGCTGAGAGTTATGGATCGCTTAGCTCTGGCTCTTACCTTAATATCATGGTTCGAGGATGGACCAGGCGGCACATCCCCATCGGCGAAGCCTCTGGGAACAGGAACAGGGGAAGGGGGGATGAGGATGATGATGATAATGATGATGCTGATGATGCTGCTGATGATGATGATGATGCTTCTGTTGCTAATGACGACGATGATAACGACGATGATGATGATGATGCTGATTCCAGTGATGATGACGATGGTGATGATGATGATGATGCTGATAATGATGATGATGATGCTGATGATGATGATGATGACAATGGTGATGATGATGCTGATGATGATAACGATAGTGGTGGTGTTGGTTATGCTGATGCTCATGATGGTGCTGATGACAACGATGCTAATTATGATGAGGGTGATTGTGATGGTGGTAGTGATGATGCTGCTGCTGATGATGATGACGATGATGGTGATGGTTTTGATGGTGATGATGCTGCTGATGGTGGTGGTGATGATGCTGATGATGGTGATGCTGATGATGATGGTGGTGATGGTGATGGTGATGGTGATGGTGATGGTGCTGGTGATGGTGATGATGATGACGATGATGATGATGATGATGATGATGATGATGATGATGATGATGATGATGATGATGATCATACTGATGCTGCTGTCGATAGTGATGTGATGATGATGCTGATGATGATGATGATGATGATGCTGATGATTATGATGATGATGATGGTGTTGATGGTGGTGGTGGTGATGGTGATGGCGACCGTGATGGTGATGATGATGCTGATCATGATGATGATGATGATGATGATGACGATGATGATGATGCTGATGATGATGATGCTGCTGCTGATGATGATGATGATGTTGATGACGATGATGACGGTGATGTCGATGCTTGTGGTGGTGGTAGTAGTGGTGGTCATGCTGATGATGAACATGATGATGATGCTGCTGCTGCTGATGCTGATGTTGATGTTGATGATGATGCTGATGATGATGATGCTGATGATGCTGATGCTGCTGATGGATTGCGATGATGATGATGATGCTGCTGGTCATGATGATTGGGCGACGACGACGACAGCGACGACGACACCGATGACGATGGACGGGGGACGACGGACGAAAGACGATGCTGGTGATGTTGATAGTTGTGCAGATGATCATGGCGATGCTGATGATACTGATGGCGATGAGAGGGAGGAGGCGGAGGAGGAGGGGGAGGAGCAGGAGGAGGAGGAGGAGGAGGAGGAGGAGGAGGAGGAGGGCGAGGAAGGGGAGTTGGAGTTTGAGTTGGAGGAGGAGGAGGAGGAGGAGGAGGAGGAGGAGAACGAGGAGGAGGAGGAGGAGGAGGAGGCGGAAGAAAAGGAGGAGGAGGAGGAGGAGGAGGAGGAGGAAGAAGGGGAATTGGAGTTGGATGAGGAGGAAGAGGAGGAGGAAG